TCCTGCACCACAAGGACCACGGCCCCCACTCTCCCGCTTGCCCACCCAGTCCGGGTCAAGTCCCCCAGCTCTTTTGCTTTTCTGTCCTCATTGACCCCTGCAGCAGAGCCCAACCCTGGGCAAGCCACACTTGCCCTCCAAGCACCGCCAGAGAAAAGTCACACAAACATCAGGCTACAGGTCGTCAGTGGAGTCTGCGGATGCTGTGTCCAGAATTTCCACCGAGTTGGCCTTCCCAGTCTGGGAACTTGTTCCAAGCTCCTCCCTCCCACCCCTCCTCCTGGCTCAGAGTTCCTGATGGAGCCCAGCGAGGGAAGAGGCCACCCGTGCCAGTGCCCTCGCCCTGTCCTCGAGTCCACACCTCTGCTTGGAGGCTGAGCCCATCCAGGGCCACTCTCCCTGCCAAGCCTCCCATTCCACTGCCCTGATTTATTTCCTCCGCAAATCGCTGCCCGGGAAGCAGCTTACTCATCGGCTGTCTGCTGAGCCACCGCTGATGCCCTGGAGGGAAAGACCCATCCTGTCCACCCCACTGGGCTCTCAGAGCCACAGAAGGCACCTCTGGAGGCCCTGTGGTGCCAGACTCCTCGGGTGCTCGCGCCTGGGTAATGCCACCCCACCGCCCTTGGCACCTGTCCCTTCCCGTACAGAGCCTCGCCGCACTGTGCATGCTCACCTGTGTTCACCACACTGTGCCCACCAAGGGCAGAAACTCACAAAGTTTTTAAATGAATGATTAGCACGTAACCAAAATGGGAAGAACGGAAGGAGGGGGAGGGAGGAAAGAAAGGCCTACTGTACTCAATGCTGGCAGATCATGAGCTGACAGTAAGAGCATAGCCACACCAGAATCAAGACCACAGCCCACCCTGGGCTGCAGGGCCACCTCCCCATGTCCATGGGGGTCCAGCACACCCAGGCTGGAAGGAGGTGGAGCTGTGCTCCCCGTTGCAACTTGAGGGCTGAATCCCCCAAGTCCCGGTGTGGCAGCTGAATCTCCAAATCCATACGCAGTGGTGCTTGGAGGAGGAGCTTCTGTGAGGTGACTGGGGTAAGATGAATCCAGGAGGCTGACGTCCCTGTGGTGGCACTGTTGTCTTCGTGAGAAGAGGAAGACCCAGGCCAGCACACCTGATGTCCTCTGACAAGGTTGGGACATAGCAAGAAGCTCTCCAGGGAGTTCCAGCCGCCAGAACTGGAGCAGAGGAACCTCGAGTCTTTATAAATTACCTGGTGTCGGTATTTGTTATGGCAACAGAAAACAGACTGAAAACACTCCCCGGTTACTCAGTACCCTAGTAAAAGGTGGGAAGCCGGCACTTACAGATTCCTCCCTGATTCTGCAAGCAGAAAGGCAGCTGGTCAGTGAATAGGCGAGCTCCGCTGGGTGCCCACAGCCTGTCATCGCAGGTCTGCTCCGCCCACTAGGTGCCCACAGGTCCCTCCTGCTGTCCTCCAACATCCCCAGGCCCCAGGAGTCCTCCTCACCCAGCTCCCCTGCTTCTGCTCCCGTTGGAACCCAAGGCCTGGCTTGCTTGGCCAGCCCTGGTGGTCAGCTTTCACCGCCACTGGCCTGGGGACCTGGGTGCTGCCCCAGACAGGCAGCCCTCTGACCACCCACTCAGGGCAGAGGCAGCAGTCAGGGGGCAAACGCTTTCCCAGAAACAGAGTTGTGGGAGGGACGCTGCCAAGGTCAGTGGTTCCACCTAAGCTCCCGACTGAACCGTGAACAACTGGGCCGCCTGTGGGGGGCTGGGCCATCCCGTGGTGTCCGCCAGCTGCCACCCCAGGCCAGGGCTGCAGCCCCTAACTCAGTGTGTGCTCATTCGTGTGGCTCCACAAGCACAACGGGGCCTGTGACAGGGCCCAGGGGCCACCTCATTGTCTCATTAGGTGGAAGCCTTCAAACCCCAAAGCACGAGCCAGGAGGGCACAGCAGGGCCTCGGGTGCCCAGGAGGAAGGGCCAAGCCATGAGAGTGCCCGGCACTCCTGGTAATGTGGCTTTATAGAGGACAGAGCGGCCTGGGCCCCGGGCACAGCCACCCACCTGTGCCAACACTGTCACTAAGCTCTGCATTCTGTGCTTTTGGACTCACACTGAGTTTTATTACACGCCAGTGGCCCATAGCCTGGGTGCTTGAACCATGAATGTTAAAGGACCCACTTCTGGCAGACGGGGTTTCCACTGTCAAGGTCAAAACCCAAAGAGAAACTCCAGACCAGTGCAAGAGAAAAGAATACCAACCATTGCTTCCTCCAAATCTGCAGTCGCGTAAAAAAGCCACCTCTTGATCCATGCGTGGTGGGGCCCACCTGAAATCCCAGGACCGTGGGAGGCTGAGGCGGGAAGATCATACTCTGGGCAACTCGGAGACTTAGTGAGACACTGTCTCAAAATAAAAAAATAATAAAGGGCCAGGGACATAGTGCAGTCTGACAGCCCTGGTTCAATAGCCTGGTTCAGTACTGTGGGGAAAAAGCTACCCCTGTCTTGCTGACCTTCCAGAGGGCCACGTTCTCCCACTGTGTACGTGGAGAACCTTCATTCAGCTGCTTCCTTCTGTAGCACACACGGCAGGGATGGCGAACCTTTCAGAGACCGAGGGCCAAACTGCAGCCCAACTAACTGTCAACAATTAAACAATTGCAATTAAACCTGAACACTGAGGTTTTAGTTTAGAAAAAATAACCCATTAACATCTTCTGTCTTAAAACAAATGACACAAGTGCCATAGGTTTGCCACCACTGTGCATGATGTTGTCTTTTTCCTTTTCTTTTTTTCTTATAACGTGCAGAGCCTTGAAAGCTGGAAAACTGCAGGGAAGCAAGGATTTTTCAAGGAGACATGGCCTTGCAGGAATGAGGGACACAGGCAACACCCAAAGCCCAGAGCACAGATTCAAGTACAGGCAAAGATGGATACATGAGGGTACCTAGAGGGCCACCACGGAGGACAGGCAGCAGCGCCCTGCACCTGCTCCTCCCCTTCCCGCCTTTCCGGCTGAGCAACCTGCTGGACACCAGGTGTCTGCAAGCTTCTCAGCCCTTCTGAGAGTTCTGGCTGGACCCGGGTGGCCAGAAGGCCAGCTCTCTGGAAGTCACAGTCCATTCCGGGGCAAAGATTGGAAGTCGCAAGCTGCATTTTGTTCTCCTAGGACAGATGAGGGTGTCAGGACGCAAGTGTAAACTGTTCAGCTGGGGGGAACTAAAAATACTCCTCCAAATTCTTGGTGTATAAACCTGGGACAAATAGAGAGCACTTTGAGAGACTGAAGAGCTTTGACTGTTCCTGTCCTTGAAGGCCTTTCAGAATTAACTGACCCCACAAAGCCTCCCAGCTGGGTGGGCGGGGTGGTGGGAGGGTCTGTTGAACTGGGCCTGCCAGCTGCGGGTCCTCAGCACCCTGCCCAGGCTCCGAGGCTGCCCGCCCACCCCAGCCTGAAGCCACTGGGGCCGAGTCTCAATCAGATTCGCTAACTTTTTTGCCCCCACCCCCTTCTCTGAAGGGCTGTTTTCTTCTGACACGAGGAAAGGCGATTCAAGGGCCGGGATCTAGCTCAGCGGTTCGGTGGCCTGCCTCGCAAACGGAAGGACCGAGTTCAATCCCTGGTACAAAAAAAAAAAAAAAAAGTAAAAGCGAGTCTAAGCTAGATGCACAATTTTCTTCCCAAACTGCGGCCTTCCAAATACTTAAGGAACCTCACTCTTGTCCTGCCTTCCTTTTAGGGTGTCCTGCTCTGATGACCCACAAAGGAACCCGAGCGGAGACTGGTAGGGAAGAGCCCAGGCCACGCGGCCACTGTCGCTCTCCCCCTGCGCGCTCCCCGCGTGGGGCAGCTGCACTGCCGGCCACCTTCAGAGCCAGCCCCAAGGTCTCAGGTCCTCGCGGCATCCACCGGGGGAAGCTCTGGGGCAGAGGCAGTAATCACCTGCAGAGCTCCAGAGCAGGCGAGTCCCTGCTCTGACCAGGGTCCCCAGGACATTGCCGGGGGCGTCCCTGGCGGATATGGACCCGTTTTCTCAGCTTGTGCGTTCCCAGCTTGCTGAACACTACTACAGAGCTTTCTCGGGGACAAAAGTAGCTGTAGATCGCTCGGATCACCGACAGGCACGAGGACCCCACGGAGGGCCGGGGGACGCAGGCGGGGACAGCGGGCGGCGCGGGGGTTCCCCACAGTGGATCTCGGACAGGAGCTGGGGAGCGGGATCAAGGGCGTCGCCTCGCGGGGCGGGACAGG